TATACAGTGCGTATATACAGTGCGTATATACAGTGCGTATATACAGTGCGTATATACAGTGCGTATATACAGTGCATATATACAGTGCATATATACAGTGCATATATACAGTGCATATATACAGTACATATATACAGTACATATATACAGTACATATATACAGTACGTATATACAGTACGTATATACAGTACGTATACTGGATATGTCTACTCCCCTGTAGAAAATCATGATGTCATGTGAGCTTTTTTTTAAGCATGAGCTAACTAAACCCAACTAAACCAATTTAAAAAAATTGAAGATGCAGCAGAAAAATAAGAACTATAGTGGACATGACTTTAAACTTGAACTGGAACCAGCTGCTAAGGAAGGATTGTCCCATTAGGGCTTCATCTTCCAGGTTAAGTCAGTGGTCTGTCCATGTGTAGTTTCTGGTAAAGACCAGTGTGAGCGTATAAACCAGAAGTCTGCAACCTTTGCAATAAAAAAGAGACATTTTTTGCCACTTTGCTTATTATTTATCGTACTACACGTCCACAAAACCTGCTCCAACTGTGTTCTGTCAACCGGTGGCCCTGGACCACGACAAGTTTGTTGGAGATGACTTTTCCAGCCAGTGGGGGCGACTATAAAATGAAAAATGTCTAACTATTATTAACATTTATTGATATTTTTACATTTTAATACAAAAGAAAATTCATGTAAAGAAAGAAAAAATATAAAATTTTAACAGTTTTGTAAAAAATGAAAACACTGAACTCTGCAGGCCTATGCGAGTTATTTTAATCGTTGAAGGATTAAGTATAATACTTAAAGCATGACGTTCAAGACAGTATCAAATTAGCCCAGTTTGTTGGATATTAAAGAAAAATAAATATTTACATTGACTTTGTTTTTTGTGTTTTATTATCAAAGTTATTCACCATATTCCTGCTCAGCAGCTCGTCTTAAAGATATTCCAAAACTTTCTGCTGGTTTTGAGAGAAAGATCACGCTGAGACAGGAAGTCGACTTAAAGTGGCTAACAAACTACTAGCATGATGTAGTCCAGATGTTTTACACCGTGCATTTGTAGTACTCTTGATATATTTGAAAATGACAGGAAATCTGCTAAAACTAGCTATTTTCATTGTTGGCAATAATTTAAATAAAATTCAGTTTTATTTTAGTTTTGGTCAAAGCCTGACAGAGTCGCTGCAGAGGCACCACAGGGCCACATGTGGCCCCCAGAGCCGCAGGTTGCAGACCCCTGACATATATGACACCAGGAGTGGACTTCCAGATCCAAACGGGACACTCACCTGCAGAAGTTGTGACTTCCCAGACCTCCATCTCCATTGGGATATTTGAGGGTGTTGTACGGGTGCTGAAAAGTCTCGTTCCAGAAGAGGCATGGTTTACCACCAAGCAGACTGGTCTGGTTCTGGAAGCCCCTGTAGTCCTCTCCGTTGGCAGTATAACACTCTGAAACAAACAAACAAATAAGAACATTAAAAAAACAGGGGAAATAAGCATCATATCCAGTGTTTTGTACAATACGTTAAAATCTATACAGATTAAAACTTGGAGAACGCATTTTAAAACACGTAAAAAAGCAGTTCCATATGATCTGCTTTATTGGACATCTGGATTTTGTAGGACGACAACTTTGCTCTTAAAATGTTTTAATGTTTCTGGCATTATTATAGATGATAAAATACACCAGCCCTAGCCAAAAGTATTTAGGCAAAATCAATAAAAAACCGTTTTAATTATTGTTCCCATACAATCAGATGAAGGGGAACAGCCTCAAACATGCACAACACAAGCAAACATGGCTTGAATTTGGAAGTATATAACAACCATATGTGGCTGCTGAGTCAAAAAAAAAAAAAAAAGAAACACAACGCCTGGTGGAAAATCTCTTTTTCCATAAAGAAGGAATTTAAATAAACAAAATCTGATGGAGGGTTGATGAACTATCACCACTCACTGTCCCGAGGCTCAGGGGGCTGCCGTCATGAAACCTTGTACAAACAAACTGAATTCCTCTTTTGATGGCATTACCATGAAAAACTCTTTTACAGTATTTGACTGTTATGATTATGCATGTGGCAGGTGTTTGTACATGTGATAACAATCCGATAAGATAACGGACACATTTTAAACAACCAAAAATTTAAAAAAAGGACCAAGTCCAACAGGTAGACACAGTTAGTTGTTTTTTTTTAAATGAGGATCAGAATGTGCTCCACTGGCTAAAAGTTAAAAAGTGTGTTTGACGTGTTTCTGAGTGAGCTTCAAAATTCAGATACTAACCAAAGTCTTCATCAGAATTCCTGGAAGTGGTCCTGATGCAAAATTTAAAAAGTCTTACTTCTAACGTACAAAGCCCTCAACAACCTAGCTCCATCTTATATTCCAGATCTTATTGTTCCGTATTTTGCAAACAGACCACTTTGCTCCCAGACTGCAGGTTTACTTATGGTTCCTAGAGTTTCCAAAAGTAGAATGGTAGGAAGATCTTTCAGTTCTCAGGCTCCTCTCTTGTGGAACCAACTTCCAGTTTCTGTCCTTGAGGCTGACACATTATCCAGTTTTAAGACTGGACTTGAGAATTTCCTTTTGATAAATCCTATAGTTAGGGTTGACTTGGGTTTCCTGGCCTATCCCTTAGTTATGCTGCTATAGACTTAAGACTACTGGAGGACATTCAGTATTAACCTAATTTCATCAAATGAATAGTTAGTTTTTGTAATAGTTTCTATCTTAACTTTTCTTTCGTCTTTCCTCCTAGAGCGGGACCTGCTCGCCTCCATTCTGGACCTGCCATTCTGGGTCCATTTCTCCTTCCTGTCCTCTCAAACCCAGCCGGTCGAAGCAGATGGCTTCCCGTCCTGAGCCTGGTTCTGCTGGAGGTTTCTTCCTGTTAAGAGTTTTTCCTTTCCACTGTCTCCTTTGTGCTTGCTCAAGACGGGAGACTGCGACAAAGTGAAGACTCAACACGATCTGCTGCTTCCTTAAAAGTTTTCTATGTATGTGAATGTTTCTGTTCAGTGCCCTGAGACGACTTCTGTTGCGCCTTGGTGCTAGATAAATAAACTGAATTGAATTGATGCTGCAGGAAACTGGACTATAAACTGTGTGACCTTTTTAAAAGAAACACATCAAATTACAAGGATCTAGAGTTTTGTCTCAGCTGAGATGGAGAATACTCAGAAACATCCAGTTTGTTTGGAAAACAATGATAAGGGTAGCATAAAGCTGTGTGTCAGCTGCGTAACAATAAAACACAAACAAATTAGGATGATTCAGAAGAAATATGGAGAAGGAACACAGGACCGACATGGAGGTCAAAGGTCACTTTTAGGAACGCAATATTGGTGCCATCTATCAACTGATCCGTTCATTCTCTGTTCCGAATAGTTTCAGCACATCTAAAAACTAAATATTTGTAATGTGTAGTAGTTTTCTCAACGGTTACAAAGAGATCAACAAGAAAACTGAGCTTAGTCGAGATGTTTATAATAAAAATAAATACATAAAAAGAAGAAAAGGCAAACTTCATTGAAGCTAACTTTACATTTTGTCCAAATTAAAGCGACTTTATCTGGAGGAGTGACGCAACAGATTTCTCCATCTTTAAATATAGAGCAGCTTTACTTAGATCTGTGATATCATCTGTGAATATATTTTGCAAGATAAGTGGTGATAATGATTGAAAAATTAAAGTATGCAACAAGACTTTTTAATTGGCTTCTTAATCATTGAAAGAAATAAGGTGAAACTTACCGGCAAGATCCTTTTTAGACCTTTTGTAAGACGGGCACGAGGGTGAAACAGCAATACAGCCATTTAGTGCGGTATTTTTCAGACTATAAAGGCGCATTAAGCGAAACAAAACAGTCAGATAAGTCAAATTTTATTCAACTCATTCACAAAAACCACATAAAATCAGTTCGAGCACAAGAATTAATACACAAGACGCACCTGATTATAAGGCTCACTGTCGATTTTTGAGAAAATTAAAAGGATTTTAAGTGCACGTTATAGTCGGAAAAATACGGTACATGAAATACAACCAGAGTTTAATTTTAAATCAAAGTGTCGTCATTTTTTGCATAAAATTCAAGAATCAATGGAGCAGCGGGGGTGATGAGTTCATTGGACCAAAAAAAAAAAAAAAACTGAGCTTTTCAAAGAAAAGTTTTCCAGGATTCAAAAGACGTTCCAGAGAAATCTTGGGTTACGCTTGTTATCACCGACAGAGCCAGAGAAATAGCTATTCTTAGTGCTAATAAACCGATTTCACGCAGTGCCCGCCAATCAAATGTTACCAAAGGCAGAACAATTCTTGCTTGTTTGATGCGACTCCGTGGGGTCCTGATGATGTCATTAGGCAAAGACTGGCTCCTTTTATCAAGTCAAGCTGCTCGGGCCGAGGACGAGCTAACTGCAATATGACAGTCATTAAAGCTCTCGGTGAGCCAGCTGTGCTTCATCATCTTCATCATTCGCTTTCAGATCCATGGATTCCCAACTTCCAACCACATCTAATCATTTGTTCTTGTTCATTCTCTGTTTAACCTTCGCCGTCATCCACCTTTCCGCTCACAGACAAACTTTTCCTTGGACACCCCTGAGGGATGCACGCTTTAGATACTCCTTTTGTGAGGTGTTGCTCAGTTCTGACGTTGGGGGGTTGTTCCTTTCACATGGTTGCAGATGAGAAAAGAATCCAAATTTAGACAACGTTCAGGAAGCAGAAACTTAAAGGACTAAAGTAATGAAGCTGAACCACGGCAGAAGATCAACTCTGGCACGATTCCAGAGAAAGACGAGTTTAAATACAGCCGAGGAAGATGAACTGATCCCAGACATGCAAGCATACATATATCCATCCATCCAGCCATCCAGCAGGACATCCATCCATCCATTCAGCAGGACATCCATCCATCCATCTATACAGCCATCCAGTCATCCATCCAGCAGGACATCCATCCATCTATACAACCATCTATCCATCCATTCAGCCATCCATCCATCCATCCAGACATCCATCCATCCAACCATATATCCATCCATTCAGCCATCCATCCAGTCAGCCTGCCATCCATCCATCCATCTATACAGCCATCCATCCATCCAGCCAGCCAGACATCCATATAACCATATATCCATCCATCTATACAGCCATCCATCCAACCATATATCCATCCATTCAGCCATCCATCCAGTCAGCCTGCCATCCATCCATCCATCTATACTGCCATCCATCCATCCAGCTAGCCAGACATCCATATAACCATATATCCATCCATTCAGCCTGCCATCCATCCATCCATCCATCTATACAGCCATCCATCCATTCAGCTTGCCATCCATCCAGCCATCTATCCATATTCAGTCTGCCATCCATATTTTCATCCATCCATCCAATCATCCATTCATATAGCCATACATCCATCCATTTATCCATCCATCCATCCATATAGCCAACCAACCAACCATCCATATAGCATCCATCTATCCATCATTCATCTATCCATCATTCATCCATCCATCCATCCATCCATCTATTCATCCATCATCCAACCTGTTTTTCTATGCAGGGTTGCAGAGAGATGATGCTTTTTTCCAGAAGTCATTGGACAAAAATGTGGGGAGGCAAATAAGACGAACAATATTTCAGGCTATGTTTGACAAAGTTACAATTTAGGTTCACAAAATAAACTAACATGCATGTTTCTGGTCTGTCGGAGGAACCCGAGCACTGTCGGGAAAACCCACATGTAGACGTAGAGAAATGTAAAGTGAGAGGCCACAGATGAGTTGGAACCTGCAGCTTTTTTGTGGGGCAACAGGTCTAACAGCTGTGATGGCCTGTTCATATACAGGTGAAGACAAATTAGAAACTGAATACAGGTGTCGAACACGAACAGGAAGTGAAAATAAACAGAAACAACCTAAATCCAAATTTAGAAGGGAAAACAAATCTGGCACAAACATGGGCTTTACAAAACAATTGAGTATAAGTAAACTAGAATTTAACTAAATAAATAAAATACAAGGAACTTCCTCTTTGAAAAACAATATCGCTTTGAGAAAAAAACATGACTGATTTAAGGGTTGGTAAGTGAATAATGACAAGAAAAATAACATTATTTTGTCATTAGAAGATATGATCAAACAAAAAAACAAATCCAAAAAATATAGTATTGTGTGTTAAAATGTGTAACTTCACTTGTTTCTAAACTATGCATATTATTTACAGAAGTCGTCTTGTTTGCAAACATGCATTCCAGCTTCTTGGATGTGCCGCAGAAGTACTAGCAACAGTTAATTTCAGGACAAGTCAGAAGCCACGGCTGTTCTCAATATGACAGCTGAAGTTGCTTTTAATTAAAGCCGTTTTGGCTGCGGTGTTCAGTCGAGCTTATCAGCCATCCATCGTCTGGCTGACAGAAGCTGAGCAGCAACAAGGA